TAACAGATTGTCAACATGACCCCACTCGACACCCCTTATGAGAATTCACTCAAAAGCTTTTGAGTAATTGTGTTTACAGACAAAAAGAATGACACACGGGTCTAATGTTTTAAGCTTAAGGTGTTCACAAACTTCATGTGGTTCCAGACTTAGCGGCTCTCTGGTAAGAGTGATGACGTTGACAGAAAAAGTTAAAGTGGAAAAAGTAAGATAACTCTACCTTCGAATTACTTTCGTTTTTTCCAACGAATGAACTCTTCACACTTCAGGATGACATCAGACTGGAGGTCAAAATCTTTTTCTGCTTCACCTTTTCCTCAACACCTTATAATAAATGTTCACAGTCATGTTAGTGGTCTCCATTGTTCTGCACTGTAGCTCATGTGTAATAAAGGAATGCCAGGATCAGACTTCCAGGAACCTTGTTTTTATTCACTGCTGACTTCACTGTGTACTAAATGTGGCTGCAACTATAATCAAACCCATGAACTCATCGCAATTGGTTTTTCAGCAAACATTCCACATACTGTGTCCGAGTCTTGTCAACAGGATATTTGTCAAACTGAAGACTTACTCCAGTCTTTTACAAACAGCCTGGCTTATTTATAGCTCTGCCTCTCACACTTTGTTGCAGCAGTGTTGCCATCCTCTCCTACATTAGAACAGCATGTGACCCATAAGTGGCAAAAATAATGGTAATGATTTGCCAGAACTACTAAATAACAGCTAAGCTGAGGAGTAAAAATGATAATTTTTCAGTATTTGGGGTCAGGGGGAGTTGTAACTGTGTGAGCTGTGTAACTTCTTCTTTCATTTTTAATTCCTCTTCACTTCAGGTTCTGCTTCAATATGCGGTAAATGAGGAGGAAGTAGGCGTGGGTGAAGGGTAATGTTAAAGGTGATCTTACATGATAATGAGGATGATGACTGCGCAACCGGAACAACCTGTTCAGAGTCGCCGCCGTCGTTGAGTTTTGGGGTGTAGTTACACTCGAGGCAGCTGGCAGGAAGTTAATGATGAAGAAACCCTCAGGTTCTAAACACCACCTGCTGCCGTGTGCATTATTCAGCAGCGGCGTTTGGCCCCAGCTGCGATGTTGCGTAACTCTTCTAATACCCCCTCACCGAATCGGTGTCAGGTCATGTTGGTAGGATGTGATTCAGAATTCTGTCATAATCCAGAGGAAGTTGTACAACCAGCGAAGCTGTTCATTTGTGTGTGCGTGTGTTTGTATGTGTCTTAGTGTAAGCACGAGATTAGTGACAGCAAGCCAGACTGGCGCTGGGCTGTACCATCCTCCTCCTGCTTTAAAGGATTGACCCTCTAAACTGTGGCCTAATGTTGACTAGCAGACCTTTTGATCTGAAAGGAGGTGTGTGTCTGTGTGTGTGTGTAACTTTAAACATCAGTCTATTAGAACAAAGATTTCAGGACAACTCATTAACCTTTCTACATGTTTATTAGAAATATTTACAACATTAATTCAGTCACATGAATAAAAGAGCAGCTTTGAATGTGAGGTAACATCATTTCACAGACGAGACGTGAACAAGGTGGTTTCAATGACATTAAAACACACACAGTTTAAATTAATGGGCTTCCAACCCCACGTGGACAGCCATGTGAACACAGTATGTAGGACAGTCCCCCAAGCAGTAGTATCGATTTATCAAAGTCCACAGCAGCAGCAGATGAACGTGCATGTAAATGTGTGCGCAGCAGTGTGTCTGCCTCAACTGTCCTTCCTCTTAACAGTGTTTCAGTGTGATATCCGGGTGTAAAGGCCGGGAAATCCCTGAAGTCCCGGTTTTGTGTGTATGTGTGTGTGTACTGGTTTATGGTCAACTGTTAACCACTTCACTTCTTCTCTGTCTGACTCAAGTCTCTTTCTGCTGATTCACACATACACACACTTTGAGTCAGCGGCAGTCACTTGTTTGGACTCATTCAACTGAAGGTGAATCACCAGGAAACAAAAAGCAACACAACCAGTTCCCCTTCGGGTTCTTCCTCAAACTTTCCGCCGTCTCTCTTGCCGGCCCGCTTCTTCTTCTTGTGTGCTTTGTTGTTCTCTGTGGGGGCTTTACAAGCCCAGCAGGCACACTGTGATTGACCGGAGAGCTCGGACCAGTGCCCCGGTAATCCCACTGTCCCGGGACTGCTGATGTAGGTCAGCTCCGCGGTGAGCAAAGGGATCACAGCGCCCTTATAGGTTAACGAGGAGTAGAGAATCACTCCGCTCTAGTCCCCATAGGAGGCTATTTTCTCCCTCCATCTGTTCAGAAGGCAGGTATAACCCGATTTAGAGACAAAGTGGTCAGGGACTCCCCGGCGCGACAGCTGCCGAGTGGGACCTCATACCTCTCTTCCCCGGGCTCCAGCCTCGCCCTCTTACTCGGGAGGAAGTCAGGCGCCGCCGACGCCTTCCCCCGGCGTTTCCTGGACTGCTTGGCAGGGCTTAAGTTCTCTTTGTCCTCTATGATTTCGCTATCACACCCGTCCTCAGTGTTGTCCGGCTCCTCTGGAGCCGTTTCGGTTGAGTTAAGTACCGGCTGGGGTTCTGTCTGAGCCTCTGGTAGCCGGGTTTGTTCCCCTGGGTTGGAGCTGGTGTCCATCGGCTCCTCCGGAGCTGACTGCGCCCCGCTCGGGACCTCGCTCTCCCGGGAAGAGTGATAGATGTCCCGGGCAGACCTCATGACCAGGGAGAGTAGGAGGCTCCGGTGAAGTCTCAGTCCTCCTCTCTGGGTCCTGGAGGCGTACAGCTTGCTTATAGACACGGCCAGGATCCGCCTGGCTTCGATGTTCACTTCCATTGCTGTTGTGGCACTCATTGTTATTCTGTGCGTAATTGCGCACCGTTGTTTTGGCACTTTAACCAAAGGCTAAAGGCTAAGTTTAACTTTAGTTTCTAGCTTGTATTCTATCTTAGCTCAGACTTCGGTTCTTCTCCGTTTGTTGTCATCTGAGAAATGAGAGCGTGTGAGTAGCAGGGTGGTGTTTTATTTCCTCTCTGACGTAATGTGGACTTCATTCCTCTGTAAGTGACAAACAGGCGCCGCCCACACCTGATGTAGCTGTAGCAGCACACACACGCACACACACACCATCTGTTCTGTCTAGCATTCCTTCCTCACACTTTTGTCTTGTATTACTTGGATATCTTTCCCTTAGCTGTAATCAACTTGAATGCTGCTTTGGTTTCAAGTAACATTTTTATTTTTTTTTATCGTTTTCAAACTTTTCCATAAAACATTTAAAATATGTCAAACATGTCTCAATGTTTGATGCATATTTTATTCAAAAATATTTCTAAGACATTTTATTTTAAAATACTACAAATTCTAAATTACTGTAGGCTTAAATCGCTCTTTACTATCTATCTATCTATCTATCTATCTATCTATCTATCTATCTATCTATCTATCTATCTATCTAAAAAAAACTTGCTCGTGGCAACTTTACGAGATCATCAGATGTCAGATGTGCTGCCCGGTGTTTAAGGACGTTTTTGAATGTAAAGTACCTTTAAAAATAATAAATGAAGAATGGTAATTGAGCAGCGTGAGATTAACCGCTGTTTACATTCGGGTAAAAACCCAGGCAGCAATTCGAAGAACTGACGTGGAAGTGTGTTCAGTTTCTCGTGAGTTTTGGCTCCTCCTCTATATCACACACAAGCACACAGAGCAGCGTACTCGTGACTTCAGAGGACATTCCGTTGACTTACATGACTAGCTGTACTGTAACCATAACTAGCCCAGAGTGCTTGTTGTCTAAACTCAGCCCCAGTCCCAAACTTAAACCTTCAGATCTGACCAACTAGTTGCGTGTTTGTCACTCTAGCATAAAGACGCTCTATAACTAGCTTTAGGTCCCCACAACAGGAGTAACGCCTGGACCACACACTCATGCGCTCGCCGCGTCATTCACTCACACGTTCTGCCTCCATATATGGCTCATCCGGTAGCCTGGGAACGCGCACAGTGGAAAAGCCGTGACGCGAACGCGCAACCGCAGCCCTTCCTCCCCACGGTCCCCTCTGTCTCTGTGTGCCCGGGCACAGCGGTGGTGGCGTCATCTGTACTCCATATATGGAGTTATCACCGGTGTAAATAAGGTTACTTAGCAGCTGTACGACCGAAGTCAAACGGCAGGAGCCTTTCTGTCCGTGCTGCTTTCAAGTCCCATTGGAAATATGTTATCTTAGCCTAACAGCGCAGAAAAGCCTCAGATTCTGCAGGGAGAAATGCGTAATAGAAGTCTTTCCAGAGAGCAAACGGATGTGCACGCACTTTTATCAATCAGTTTGTTATTTATCTCTCCCTTTATTTGGTAGGGACAATGACCGCTGATCAAAAGGTGAAGGAAAAAGGCATAAAAGCTACTACGAGATATTTCTTCCATTCAGATTGCAGCATCAGATAAGTCAGCATGACAAAAGTAAATATTTTCACTTAGCCTGCTTGTGTCATAAACCTGTCTGAGTTTGTTTTGGGGGGGTTTTCTACAAAAACGCTTAAATGCAAATTCTGGGTATTTAGTAAAGGTCAGTTTAAGGTTAATACGTGGGAATGATGGACTGTATATAAAAGATGGACACAGCTTTGTGACATTATCAATTTATTTGTAAATTTGTGTTTTAAACTAAACTTGAACTAAAAAGCAGAAAAATGAATTTCTTATACTTTGAAGCATCTCACTGTGTGTGTGTGTGTGTGTGTGTGTGTGTGTGTGGAGGGGTGTGTGGGGGAGGACAGAAACAGTAAAGCAATCAAACAAAATGAACTCATACACCTGAAATCAGGCAAATTCCATAACTTAGTACAACTACAGTTATGCCCTCTCGTCAGGCACTCATTTTCATTTTTTTTTACGCCCACACGTAACTCTGCCTGTCACACAACTGCAAGTCAGTGCAGTATAATCATTGGCGCGGCGTGCCAATTACACTCGTTATCACTAACACTGGTAATCATGCCCTCAAGTGCTCTAAAACATGCAAGCGGTAACCATGGAAACCTTTCCCATCACTGCTTTTCCTTCCCTGATGACGTGGACATGGCACCAGAAACACAAACAATATATTGGATACAGCATGCACTGCATGCACTGTCTTCTTTGTTATTCCAACTATAAAATTTGCTGGACGTGTAAAGGAGTAGGGGCAATAAAGTGGGCTGCAATAGCTGCAATATATTTTTATGACTTTGCCAACAAAACATTGTTGTTTTAGCTGGTTGCTTTACATTTATAGATTTTACTTTACACTTGGGTAAAAGAATAGAATCAGAAGATCACAAAGATGTTATCAGAGATCGCTTTAAATGTTCAGGAAAGCAAATAATCAAAGTTTATTGCTACTTGCAAGAATGCCCCCTTTTTTTCTTTCTTTCAACAATCACGTAAGTTTTTGGTCTGAATCAGTAAAAATTGTAAAAAAAAAACAAAACTGATTTGTTGTTAGCAGTTTGTTTTTTTTATAATCACATTTTACTCCTAGTATGCACGTTTAATGAGTCGCTCTATAAGCTGAGCAGATCTTAAGCAAAGAAAACAACCAAACATGACTTCACTTGAGGTCTGTGAATCCGTCGCTATGGTGACAATGTTATGTGAGATTATACTTGCACTGCCTCTGCCTGAGGCCAAATGTGAAGCGGGGAGTGTGAGTTGGTGTGTGTGTGTGTGCGCAGCAGACTAGAGGGCAGGGCCCGCTTTTTCACTGCGCAGTAATTCTTTGTATAGGATACAGTAAACAGTGGTTGGTAGTGCTGGGAGATGACCTAGATGACCTAGTTGGCAAAGCAGACTACAGGTGGAAAGCATAGAAACTGTTTCTACAATGAACATTATATAATGGCTGAGATTTTATTAACATATGGCTACATTTTAAAGCGCCATAGCTGCTATCGTCTATTTTTTAAGGACGGATGTTAATGTTCTTCAGTAGGATATCCACAGTCAAGGGAAAGAGAAAGTACACCCTATTTTAATTCCAAAGTTTTACCTATCAGGACAATAAAAAATAATTTAGTCCATCCCAAATTTAAAAAAAAAATAGATAAATACAACCTTAGATAAACAACAGTGCATGACACATATTACACCACATCGTCATCTGACAAAAGCTGAACCAAAATGTGGAAGCAGTGTGTGAAATCTAAGAAAAATACAAGTACACCCCATGACTCAAAAGCTGTTAGAAGCATTTTAGCAGCAATAATTTGAAGCATTTGTTTTCTGCACGACTTCATCACACTCACACATTGTTGTGGAGGGATTTTGGCCCGCTCTTCTTGACAGTGTAGCTTCAGTTCATTGACAGTTGCAGGCATTCATATTTGCACAACTCTTTTAAGGTCCCACCGTAGCATTTCAGTCAGGCTGTTTTCTGTTGTAGATTTGCTGGTGTTCTCGAGATCATTGCCATGTTGTATGACCCAGTTTTTTCCAACGTTTGCTGTCAGACAGATGTGACACTGCAATACTTTGGTAAACAGAGGAGTTCGCCGTTGACTCAGTGACTGCAAGGCGTCCAAGTCCTGTGGTTGCAGAATAGGTCTAAATCACCCCTCCTCCACTTTGCTTGACAGTGGAGGTGTTTATACCGATCTGCTGTGTTTAGTTTCCAGCAAACATTGCCCTGTGTGGCTAAACATCTCCACTTTGGTCTTGTCTGTCCACAGGACATTGATCCAGAAGTCTTGTGATTTGTTCAGTTTTGCAAACCAAGCTGCCGTGTTTTTTTGGGGGTTTTTTAGAGAGAGGAGTCTTTCTCCTGGCAACCCAAACAAGCCATACTGGTTCAGGGTTTGTCTAAATGTGCTGTCGTGAACTTCAATGTTTCGCATACCGGCTGAGGCCTGTAGAGTCTGAGATGTAGCTCTTGGGATTTTTGCAGTTTCTCTTAGCATTGCTTGGTCGGACCTTGGAGTATATTTGCTTAGACCACCACTCCTGTGGAGATTGACAGCTGTCTTCAATCTTTGAATAATCTTTCTCACTGTAGAATGACAGACTTCATTTTGTCTGAAAAGGCCCCATAACCCATCCCAAGCTGATGGGCAGCAACAATTGCTTCTTTAATTCCATCGTAGAGGTTTTTCCTCCTCAGCATTGTGTTATCACACACCCAAATGCTCCAGATCAGCAAACTTTCAAAACCTCTGCTTTTTCTTAGTTGCTTACACTTGCTGATGATCAGTTTGTCTGTCTGTCTTTACCTGATTTTAAGACCTGCTGAGAAACCTGCTGTACCTACTGTAAATCCAAAAGCACACACACACACACTCTCTACTTATTAGGTTGCAGCTTTACAAACTCTATTTTTATTCGAGTGCAACTTTGATTGAACATTTCCTCCGGGTAAACAAAGTAATTACTTTAGGAAAAGATATATATAAATCTTATAAAGTTTGTATCTGTCTTGTGTGAAACTTGTATGAAAAGCATACAAGAGTGAAAACAGATATAAGATCCCTTGAAAAATTATATAAATGAAACGTGTATGTTTTGGATACTTACTAAAACAATACATGAAAGTAATGAGAAAGTGTCCACTTTCATGAGTAAACCATATAAGCCTTATATGATTCAGTATATGAAGTAGGCCAAATCTTATGCAAGTCTTTTATAAATTTTTACTATTTCTTTTCCATATGGGAAGCGGAAAATAAATCTGAATTGATTCTTATAGTCACATGCAACAGTCGTACCCTCAGGTGTTTCCTTTTTCCAGTCCCAGCATCTCTGTTGTGAACTGCTTTTGGCTGTTTCAGTAGGAAAGCTTCTATAGATGAGCACATCTCCTTCTGAGCTACACATTTCTTGTGAGACTCACATGTACTGTCACTTCCCATCATGCGCTTCCCATGAGACACTGAAAACAACACACACAAAATAAAACAAATAAAGCAAAACACACAGTTATAAGTACTCTCGCAGTCTTCTGTGTAACTGCACTTCCTTTTCTTTGTGCTAGTGTTCGTAACAATGCAACAAAATCTGCAATAATACCTGCTTTCTCACGAGCCAGTGGATAAATGGCAGACGTTTAGACAGCTGTCAGTCCTGCAGTATTAGCTTTGAAAAGCAGATGCAGTTTCTCAATAGAGCTGATTTACACTTGGCTCTAATTCTTGACAAAGGATTAACTGTGTGATAACCAAGCAAGCATTTTTTACTTTTTATTTTTGTTAATTTTGTAACCAAAAGCTGCAAACACCCTGTGGTTCCAGCATCCTTGACTTTAAATCAGTGATTCATCAAAAACAAGGTGGTTTAAATAAATCACCTCGGTCTGCGAGGAAGTGAAAACGCACTTATCAGCAGCAGGAAGTTGCATTAGGTCATTCTTACTGGGAGCACTTAAAGGCACCACAAAGGAATGGGTCAGACTTCTATATTTAGACTCGCTTCTCTGACTGTTTTCTCCTGCTTGTTGACTCTGAGCCAGTTTCCTTTTTTATGCCGGCATGATTTGGTTGAGTTCAGATCTTGTTTTGTTCCGCTAAAGAAGATTTTCCTGCTACATCACGGTGTTAGGGTAAAATGAGTCAAGGTTTCCATCACAGGCAGATCTGCCTTCAGCTGAGCTGGACAGTACTGAAGCAACGGCGACAGATCGAGTGACAGAACGAATGGAATTAGTAAGAATCAGAAACGTGTCCTCGTATCAGTTTTTTATCAGAGGGGTTTTTGAAGGTATTTTCCTCTTATTCAAACAGAACATCGAAGGATGCTGGACATGAAACTGTACAAACTACAACTAGTTTTAAAGCATATTTGTGAAACGTTTGTGACTGTGTTGTGCTGTATAATCACTAACTGTGTGGCAGGGGCTCAAACATATGTCTGCCTAACGATGGTCCAGAAATGTGTTTACATATGACGCACACATAAACAAAGAGCAGGGCTTCTAAATGCAACAGAGGGAGACAGTTTTCCAAACGATGAAAATGAAAGCTTTTTGGATAATAAAAGCATTCAAACTTTGGTTCTTCTTTCTTGTGTGCGTGTGTTTGCATGTGCATGTGTACCTCTCTATTTGTTTGTGGAATTTGTAAATCTAGATAAGCTTTTATGACATCACATGTATGACACGCTCACTGAAAGCCTGGGATAGTACCAGCTATACGAACACAACAGCGGCACTTTAAGTCAACTTGCGACTTGTGTGTAAATGTTGACTCGGTGCTATTACCCCTCAAAAACTTGGGGTCACTTACAAAAAACCCTGGTTTTAAAAGAGAAGATCTTTACCTAATATGATGTGAAACTGGTCAGAAATATTGTAGATGATAAGTAGTTATTACTGGAATCAGAATCAGTGATCGTATTCCATTGAAATTCTGTTTCAATGTGTTTATGATCCTCGGTGGAATATCTATGTGTACATAGGCCCACTGTCTACAACCACTCCTGTGTTCCAGTGACACATTGCTGATGACCTCCCACAGCTAGTGGGAGGTCATCAAGTTAAAAGGCATACTGATAATCAGAAAAACCCCTTTTCCAGCTATGTAAGCATGACTAAAAAATGTTGTGATTAAAGATACAATTACTTGTATCTTTAAGCTTCGACGTTTGTGCAATTGATTGCAGTCGGAAAATGGACGATAAGAAGACACTATTTTCTGACCTTTCAGAATCAAATCAAATCTTCAAAACAAAGAAATGAAGTCTATTCCACAAGGCGGAAAAATAAGATTTCATACTACAGTTTCATCTAGATGAGAACAGGATCCCTCACTGGTCCTTATTAAATGACACCTAGAAGAGCCAGATTTCAGTGTTTTTTAAAAAGGAGTAGTACACCATGTTTCCCAAACACAGAGGGGAAAAAACACACTTTTTTATTTTAAAAAAATCTGGTGAGTTTTGAAAGCTCCTCACACCCTCCACTGATGATGCTTCAGACGCTTGACTGGGCAAATTTACTCCTCGTTTGATCAGCTTGGTAGTTTTCAGCTGTACTAAAATAAGAGTTTAGTCTTTTAAATAAGAACAGTCACCACAAGTTCAACAAAGTGTTGCAAACATTCCTCACAGATTTTGTTGCGTATCAACACGATAGCATCACACAGTTTGTCAGATTTGCAGATTTGTCATTGGCAAGCCGACAATGATGGGAATCAGCCGTGCCGCCACATTCCAAACGTGCTCCATTGGACTGAGAGAACCTGGAACAGAAGACGGGACATTTATAGCTATAGCTGTGAATTTTCTCAGGACAGGATGGGAGGAATTGGGGGAGTGCAGGATGACGACAGGAAGGAAGGAAGGAGCTGGGCAGGACAGGGTGGGCTTGAGAAAAGCCCACAGGAATAAAGACAAATGGGTGGGACAGGACTGAGGCATGCAAACACGGCTGTGGAGGATTTGCCGAGCATGCTTTTTTTCTCTCCCCTAGCAACACCCTGCTATTATCCCTTTTTTTCTTTTACCATTTTCATGGATCGTCTCAAATTAATTTCTAATAGGACCTCCATAGTGTCCAATGACACATCCGCCTAGGTCAGATTTCCCACACTGAGGTTGGCGAAAGCACTTTCCATGAAACTGTTGTCATCATCAGATGGACTTTGCCCCTGTTGCTCACAGAATTTTCCATTACCTTTTCCAAATCTGCAGTACATGGTCTGCACTTTGTACTTAAATCAATCAAATAATATATACTATGTCCAGCTCCCATACCTGTTTTATCTACCTGTTTGTTTATAACTGTTTTATTCTTGTCCTTTGTGTTTATGCTTGTGACGAAGTCGCAGCAAATAGAGGCTCGGACAGCGCCTGCATAGCTGTTACTGAGCTGAGTTATATAACTACCATACCACCCCCAACTCTCCACCTCCCCTCCCCGTCTTTTTTACGTCTGTGCGCTACCAGTGACGTGCGCATGCGCTAGGTGTGAAGAGGAAGGAAACATGTCGGTAGAAGACCCATTTTTCGTTGTGAAGGGGTGAGAAACGAAAACTAAATGAGACGTCAAAGCTCGCGTTGTTATAAACTAACTACAGCTTTTAGCGCGTTGAGTGTTAGTTACGTGGGGGTTTTGTTATTTTTCCCCTCAAAGCAAAGTTATATCAGAGAAGTTAGCCTAGCAGCTAGCTCTAGCTAGTTAGCATTAGTGCTACTGTAGCAGCTGCGCAGAGGGGCTCAGTGAGTTTGTTTTTTTAAATCAGAGCGACGCACTCAGCACTCACTGAAATCCGTTTCTACCCACACCCCACTTGGCTGTCAGTGAAAACACCGGGCCAGCTGTGGGACTGGCTGTGGTCAGGCACTTTAAAGTCGTTGCGAAGTTAGGAAGCATGGGAACTGGGGTTTGTTTTGTTTAACTGAGGGGCGTAGCTGCAGTGCTCAGGTCGGAAAACACCCCTGTACTTTAAATGATTAAAGGGCGAAGTCAACTGGCTATGATTTTCCGCGCTGATAATGTTCCTGTTGTGTGTTTTTGTTCAGGGAGGTGCAGAAGGCCCTGTCTCGAGCTCGGGGCCTGTTTGATAGATGGGAGGAGCTGTTGCAGGAGGGGACACAGGTGAGCCTCGTGGGCTGACTCACGTGGTACAAACATGCTGTCAGGATGGCACACAACTTATCAGGGTCATCAGGTGTCCATTATAGTTTTAAATATTGTAACTGGAAATAATCCCGCGTTTATCGAGTTATCATGGCATCTAATTCACTGCTGTTTGTGTGAGGTTTATTTTCTTGCAGTGTTTTTAATAGGATGTGTATACTGCCCAAAGTTTTGCAGGGCCTTAAGGTATCTTGGACACTTAAATATTTCATAGGAATTAAGGGGAACTGGTATGCACATGTCCAATTTTTTTCCATAAATGTTTGGACAAGTATTGCATTAAAATAACCCTTAAACCCCCGCCTTTAACCCAATTTATTTCTGCGGAATAAAATTATTACTCATTCTTATTGATTCGACTATAAAAATGTTTTCTCTGCTTTTGTTTTTTAAAGTTTTTTTCAAAGTAGTAGTTTTTTTGTTTGTTTTTTAGCATTTTAACCCTCCTGCTATGTTGCGGGTCAGATTGACCCAGAACAGAAGAGATGTCACATGTCATCTGCATCACTTCAGAAAACGAGAAAAATCAAAATTATAAAAGAATAATAATAATAATGGATTGCATTTATATAGCGCTTTTCGGGGCCCTAAAAGCGCTTTACAGTTCCACTATTCATTCACTCTCACATTCATACACTGGTGGAGGCAGCTACAGTTGTAGCCACAGCTGCCCTGGGGCAGACTGACAGAAGCGAGGTTGCCATATCGCACCATCGGCCCCTCTGGCCAAAAACAAAATTGTAAAATAATCAATGCCAATTCTGACACTTTTGGATGAGTAAATTTGCCCTGGGTCAAATTAACCCAGAAGCATAATTGGTGTCCCTGGAAGCCAACATAACAGGAGGGTTAAATGTAATTTTAACTAGAATCTGCAGGCACTACAACAGTCGTCCTCAAACTCTTTGTGCACAAGGCCGACTGAACAAAAGTTCAACCACAGTATTTCTGTTTTACCTTCAGCTAAACTACTATATTGCTATTCATCCATCCAGGTTACATAAGACACTTTAACCCAATCAAACAAATATACCTGACTAAGCGTTAGATCCTGTGCTCTTTAAAAGTAGGCAAAGCGTCTCTCTGGGAGGATATTACAAGTTCCTGTTTAGCTTGTTTGGCACTGTGTAAGCATTAGTTAAGTCGCCTCAGCAAATGAAACACTGTAGTAATATAGTAAATATAAATGCTATTTGTTAATTTTTATGCAGTTTTAGTGAAAAAGTTTGATTGACAATCAATATAAAGCCATACCTGGAGTGGGCACACCATTTGGGAACCACTGGGATAAAAAAGAAGTCACCATATTATCCAACATGCAAAACATCTGTTGATGATACAAATATGTAAAATGTTTTTTAGGGATGTCTCTAACATTTATACTCAATACATTTCTTTTAATGTACTGCTTCAGGCAGTGGATGTAATTTAAGATTAAGACGCGTCATTCAGTGTGAAATGTGTTTAAAAAAAGTATTTGCAGGTTTATTTGAGTTTCCGTCTGTTTGTTTCAGGTGAGTCGAGATGAACTAGACTGGAGCGCCAACGAACTGAGAAACTGTCTGAGGGCCATAGACTGGGACCTAGAGGACCTCAGTGAAACCATCAGTATCCTTGAAGCATGAACAAATGGCTTCCCAATGCCCCACAATGCCACTGTCATCATATGATGAGCAGTATTTTTAAAACAAACAGGCTCTTTGTGCACACTGTCTTCCTGTTTCCGTCCTGCTTAATCAGATTAATCTCCTAAACTGGAACCATTTTAGTTACATAATAATTTACCATAGAAGTATTTAAAAAGTCGCTGTCAGCACTTAGGAACATATCAGGAAACACTGCTGATGGAAAAGAAGAGAAGGCAAGCTTTTATTAAATGCATGAACTTCTTGTGGGGTTTTTTGTCATCACTGATGGAGACGGATTAATAAGTGTGAAATGAATCCAGGGAATCAAGAGGTTGTCAGAATACCTGAAATTTAATGCAATACCTGGTCAGCACCATAACACAAGTCCTTCTAAAAGCAGGTGTAATTGCACAGCAGTCATACCAAAGCTGTCTCTAGACACTGGTCATCTGAACATTCATGTATGAATCAGCCGTCACATCTGATTTTGGTGCCATCTTTGCATTTGTGAAATTCTCCACAAGGTTTGCGTTAAGTACCATGTATCACTACACAAGAGGTGTAGCACTGATTGAGCCATTTTGTTTGTGGGTCCTTGACTGGTTCAGGCATCGTGGAGTCAAATCCAGGGAAGTTCAGACTGGGTGATAATGAACTTCAGGAGAGGAAAGATTTTGTGGAGCGAACCAGGAAGTCTGTCCAGGTAACTTCAACCTGAATTCATTTTTTTTCCTGTTTCCACACTCTTATATATTCAGATATCAAGTCCTGTGGTCTTTTTTTTTTTTGTTGTTTTTTGTTGTGTGCTCAATAAACATTTGTGAATGACATGAATAAAACATTGCAGATGACAAATTGTAGATGAAACAACATAGTTGTCGTCTTCTTAATTTATAGCAGAGCTATTTGATACGGTTGCTTTAAGTCTCAAAGGTGTACCTGATAAAGTGATATCTGCTTAAACATGATAATCTGGAGTTTTGTCAAAAATCACTCTGCATTTACCCTTGAATACAAAACATTCAGTATCCAACATGTTACACTGCTCACAAAAATGAAAGGAACACTTTAATCAGAGCACAGCATCAAGTCATTTAAACTTGTGGGGTATTGATCTGGTCAGTTAAGTAGCAGCGGGGTTGTTAATCAGTTTCAGCTGCTTTGATGTTCATGAAGTTAACAACAGCTGCACTAGAGGGGCAACAATGAGACAACCCCCAAAACAGGACTGGTATCACAGGTGGAGGACACTGAGATTTTTTAGCGGTTAGTGTCATTACTGGAAGTATGAGGTGAGCCTGGACACTGCAGAGGTTGCACAGATAGTCCAGCTCCTCCAGGATGGTACATTAATATGAGCCATTGAAATTGCCAGACGTTCTGCTGTCTCCCAGCACAGTTTGACGAACGTGGTGGAGACGTGGTGTCCAGGAAGCAGGCAGTTACTCTAGGAGAGTTGGACAGGAATGTAGAAGGTCCGTAACACATTAGCAGAACCAGTATCTGCTCCTTTGTGGAAGGAGGGACAGGATTATCACTGCCAGAGCTTCCAATGACCTCCAACAGGCTACTGGTGTGAATATCTCTGACCAAGCAATCATGAGGGTGGCCTGGTGCAGGATGTGGTCTAATGGGTCCTGTGCTCTCTGCCCAGCACTGTGGAGCCTGATTGGCATTTGCCTTAAAAGACCAGAACTGGCAACTCCACCCTGTGCATTTCACCCTGAGTACACGTGACAGACGTGAAGCAGTCTGGAGAAGAAGAAGGAGAACATTACGCTGCCTGTAACGTCGTTCCGCATGATCGGTTTGCTGGTGGGTTAGTGATGGTTTGTCAGAACGTCTTTGAATTCAGCCCTTTGAAGGTTGATCATTTTTATTTCCATCAAACGATGGGGCATCTTTTCATTCCTAACATGATACCCAGTATCAGTATAAACCCACATCCAGCAAGGTTTTTCTTTTTCTCGTTGAGCTCTGATGTAATTTTTTTGAGCCACGTACTTTACTGTCCAAATTTACAAAAACAGTTTTGTATAATTCAGTATAAAGTGAGAAAAGGTGGACATTAGCTGTCTCTGATCATTACAAATAAGTACATTTTGTAATTTCAGAGTATTGTTCACTTTTGCCTAAACATAAAGCCCTTCTCTAAATGAAAATGAGAAACTAGATTTACCAGTATTTTCTTTGCTTTGATGACTCATAAGTTGTGCTCTAATCTTCTGCAACGTACAAACACAGTGTGACTAACAAACACTTATTTTGAACAGAGTAATCATTCAGTGGGGTTTTCCAAAAACTACTTGGCGTCAGGTGATCTAGACCTTATCTCATAAATGGTTCAGAAGTCGTAGTACTCCCAGATCCATCAGAAGCCTTTTTCAAAATAATATTTTCATCTAGTATTCTAATAATAATTAAAAACAAGCTATTCTTATTTGATTTTAATTAACAAGCTTTAGCCCTACGCTGAGGGTATAATGTTTTATTTTGAAATCGGTTTCCAGTAGCTACAAGTGTTCTTGATGGAGCACAGACAGCTGCTTCCCTGGAAGGCCGCCGCTGTCTTTGCAGCTCCAGTGTTGCCAATAAAGTAGAGGCAAAGTCAAACATTAGTCAAAGCAGCAGCTCCCAAAGCCGAGCAACACTTGTTTTTTCATTTCCCCTGTTTCTATTGTAACCACATACACAGTTTCTACCTGTCGACATATTTAACCGCGCTGCAGCTGTTGAGCTCCTGACTTTTAATTAATTTAAATCAGTGTCCAAGCTGTAGGCACAATGGAAAACATGAGTCAGTTTTTAACACGACTTAACGGCAAAGGTGGCATTCTTAAAATAGGCCTGGAGAACTGAGTCACCGGAGCCAAACAGAAGAGCTGCGCTGTGAAGGAACAAAAGACTTTCTGACGTTTCGATTTGCCCGACAGCGATTCTGGAGCAGCACAGAAAATCTCATTAATGAACATGTCTGCACTGAGGCAGCCTTTAAAAGGAGTTTTCTGCTGCTATTGGGACAAATTGTGAAATGAGAGGTGTAATTATTTGTGTTTTGCTTTTTGTGTGTGTGTCTGTATAGGACATGAAGGATCAGTTGTCCAGCCCTTCTGCTGTGGCTCAGGCAGAGAAGAAGAACAGACAGGTTGGTGAAGATGTAAACATGAAACAAAACACACACACTGTGTACACATAACATCTATATATATATCCACACTACTGGGTAAAATGCAATTTGAGGTACAGGGTCTGAATTGTGGAACTCCAAATTAGCGTACTTCTACATCTACACCATCTGTTTTCACCTGTCGTGCACAGGACCAGGTAAAAATCTGGTCGTGTAATCTGAGCTACACTTCCCTAGAAATATGACTAAGCTATTGTGATTGTCTGAATCTTACATTGCATTTCCGTTTACTTTCTCACCTCAGTTTTTACCCC